TTAACAGAACTATAGATGATCTTAACATTGTTTTTGTTAAAAATGAATGGTGAATGGGTAAAGAGTTTACGGATTAATTTTTTAAAAATTCTTCCGATATTAGTTTGGACATTACGGTTAAAAGGTGGATTAATCCATATAATGTGTTTACGGTGTTTCTGCTTATTTCTAACTTTTTTGTTTATTTCTAAAGACTCTAAATTTACTTTATGACCGCATAGTTCTAAAGCCTTTATATATTTAGCTTTAGACTTATCAAATATTTCCGTATTGCTGGAGTTTGTGAATAATCTAACTTAGACAGATTTACGTAAATTATCTAGAATTTTATGGTGGTGCCTTGATTGTTTAGTAACGTATCTATTGATTACTTTTGCATTGATGGTGGTGGTAATATTTAGTTCGTGATCTTTAAAAAAATCCAGTTCTTTTCCCAATCCGTCTATCTTTCATGGACTATTTTTACGGAGAAGAATTACACCGTCATCTCTATAGAATCCGGTGTCCTTGATATTGAAAATAAATCTAAGTCGCCATAATAATAGAATTCCAACTAAATGGCATGCCTCTGCTGGATCATACACACTTATAGCTACATTAAATTCCGGATTACTTTTTTTGGTCCATAAACAACCAATACGGAAAAGTATAGACTTTTTTAATTTTCAACTTTTATTTTTGATTTTGATTTTTAATTATTTTTTAATTGATATTTTAAGGCTAATTACGGTCTATTTTTGATATATAAATTATTAACTATATTTATGTTTTAATAATAACAAGTATTCTCTCTTCAATTATATAATTGTTTAAATATTAAAATATGAATATTTTAATTTTCTTTCTTTACATACATATATGAATTCCGCTTGTTTCAACTGCCAAATATAATTTTAAAATTAAAAAAAAACTAATCCAGCATAATATACAACTACGCCAACATTGTGATCACAAGATATATTATAATTAAAAATACAGTCAATTTATACTCAGTGCGTCGTGCATAAACTCACATTCGTACTAGTGGTGAGAGATAATATATATATATATATATATATATATATATTCTAATGATATTTTTCTTCTTGAGATTCTTTGCTTTACAAAGGTGATTTTAGGCTTAAACATTTGCCAAGGCAGAGTAACCATGCAATTTCATTAACCGGCTATCATCATGATTTTATGTTAGAATCACACGAAATGGCCCCAAAACAAAAATCATATGAAGACTTCCTCTCACAAAACCGATAGGCAAAAAGCTATAGCGAGTTAATTAGAAGAAAACTGTCGAAAATTCTCAAACGGTAAAAAAACAGGAAATGCACATATTGAAGCAAAAGCTCTCAGTCGAACAACGGTCCTCAAATGTCAGGCAAATGGCGCCAAACAAATTGGCGATAATTTGTCCTGCACCTTTTATTTTTTGTATTTATAGCCCTGCACATTTGAGGCTCGTACGATTATGATTTGTTGTTCTACTTTGTAAATTTTTTGAAAATTATCCTGTGATTATACTTGCATTTCTTTTTATTTTCAAAAGTCTTCTAAAATCTGAACTGCATGTTTTACTTTTTAATATTTTCAAAGAAGCGCAATTTGACTCTAAATACGATTTTTCATTTCAATTTTGATTCATTTTGGCAAAGTTCGGGTTTGATTTTAATGCGCTTGTGATACGCTCACAACAAGCTCAAATGGACACTCGACGTGGTGCGATGGTTAGCAAGCATGGCTCGGTAGGTCACTTACGACTAAACAGTGAGTTCGATCCTCACTGGGTGTCTCATACTTTCGGCCTTGTGCCACATCTAAGCTTAAGAAATCGCCACTGCAAACTCATTTCCTGGAAATTCGATTTTTGGAACCAAAATAAAATTATTTTTTCAAGTTGAGACTTTCACAAAACACACGCCTCAATCTTTCTTCTCTCGGGATGCCAAAAGAGAATTTTTTTTTTAAGATAAGAAATCAATGAATATTTGGTCAGTTCGGTGAGTGAAATAGTTGCACTCTTCTCTAGACCGAGGAAAAACCAAGATCTCAAATGCTTATTTTTAAGGCAGGCACACATTTATCACTTGGAAAACCGACGCAACACAATCTTCAACCACATTTCTATCATTCATTCAGTTTATAGAGATTTAGTGTAGAAATAAAGTATATTTTAGATGTGGCACAAGGTAAGAAATACGGAGCACCTTTTGGGGATCGAACTCACTACTAAGTCGTAATGGGTCTAACGAGACAAACTTGCTAAGTATTACACTACGTTAAGTTAACCCATTATTTTCTAAACATAGCTTAGATATGGCAAAAGGCTAAAAGTATTGAGCGCTCAAACTCACTATTCAGTCGTATTTAATCTAACGAGATAAGCTTGCTAATCATTACACCACGTCGAAGTGGTCCATTCAGCTTATAATATGTACTAAAATCGGTAAATTTAAAATTTAACATTTTTTTGAAATCGAAAATCTTATCGAATAACCATTATCTATTACAAACTTCAATTATTGCTTCAAAACTATTTTCATTCTTGCCTGAATTTTTCGTGAGTTATACTAATGAATAGAACAAAGAAGCATTTACTAGAATAGCAATTATTCTTTTGCAGGACATGTCTATATCCCCCTTTTCCAGCAAGCCTAGAAGAACATAAGCCGAGAATCACTGAGACAATATAGAATACTACGCAAGACATGCTACAGCGTGTTTGGCGAGAGCTAGACTATCGACTTGACGTATCACACATTTTGCTCATATTGAACATTTGTGAAATTTTATGAAATCAGTTATAAAATCTACATCCCTTTAAATATCTTGTTTGAATTTGGTAAATAAATATTTTATTGTTCAAAATGAGACCCATTTATTTTCGTTTACCTGGAGCATGTACTTGCTCAGATATTCGCATTTTAAAAGATGTTATTTTTGTGGGGACAGCCTGTATAACTGTACCTAAATATTATTGTAAATATTAAAACCGCCCATTTTTTTTTCCAATCTCACCTCAGAAATGCTGGCACTCACCTCTATGAAATTATTAAATTGACTTTGCTGTTGAGAAAATGAAAAAGAAAAAACGCTGAAATACATCGAAAGCAATTTATATTTTATAGTCATAATTTCGAAAATATGTCTGCCGAAACTTCTTATTGAAAACAATGAAACTAGATCTGAGATCGAAAATTAACTGAATAATTCATCCTAGGACTTCTAAAAATAATTATCAAAATAAATGACTGATTTGTTTAATTTTCATGATTAATTTAGCCAGTGTCCCAGACAACGATTTCTTCCGAAAGAAGCAAGCGGACAATCCAAAAGAGCAGTGTGGTCATCGATTTTGGGAACAAAATATTTATCAGAATTTATAGAAATAAATAAGCGCCCAAAGACATTATTGATAGAACCAGTGGATTTATGACCAGAAACATGGTTAGAAATTTTTAGGAACGGAAAAGCGGTCAGCGGTTTTAGAAACAAACTAACGATTAGTGCACATAAAGACCAACAAACAGTTTAGAGGTTTCAGTCCCAAACAAGCTGTCATTCTTCTTTTATTCATGTGCCATGTCCTTCCGGGACGTTGACGATCATGGTTCTCCACAATTTCCTATTCTTTGTATCTCCTAATAAATGTAAACTTTTTGTTATCTCACCAAAACCTGGTTCGGTCACCCATTTATTCAAGCTCGCTGACAGGGGTTATTCTTTGCTTTGCTCAGGCCCTTTTGTCTTCAATCTGTTAGTATCAAATTTTCCAAACCCTCTTTCCGAATTATGTATTCTAGAAATTGTAACTGTCTCTTCCTAATGTTAAGTGTTAGTGTTCGTTTTATTCTCATTTTCTCTAGAACTTCGTCGTTGCTTACATGTTCGGTCCACATCATTCCCAGCATCCTTCTCTAAAAGTAAATTTCCGTTGCTTCAAGTCTCTTCTTCATCTCGGATCAAAGGCCTTAGGGACACGCAAATAAAACTATTGGGATGAATGCTGCACATAATTCAGTAGAGACACTGAACTAAATATTCGTAAATATTTAAAATAAAACCTTTAAAAACCTGTGGGCAAATTATATTTCACTCAATGTTTCTTATGTTTTATTAATGCTACATAGACGGTAAGTGCCTTCATGTATAAAAAAACAAACAGATTTTCTCAGTTTAGTTTAGTAGAAGACCTCAAAGCGGGGCATGCAATAATGATCGAACTCACAACAACCTATTACGAGACCGGTTTGATAACCATTGTCCTGATTCCCAGATCTGCGTGAACAGCAATCGTTAGGTTATGTCATTATTAAATATGGAACACGTAAATGCATAAATGTCCCGAACACGTCTTAGTATTCGGGAACCCAATTTGACGTAATAAAGAAACGTCATTTAGAAAAAGGAAAGCACACTAACAAATCTATTTTTGAAATCGATTGTTGGGTTTATTTTGGCTTTGTGTTAAATTAGTGAATAGAGGTTGCGGGTTGACAGACATTATGGGAGTAGAAGATAAGAAGTTAAAGTAGAAAAGCCAACCTTAAGACTGAAAACGTGTATATAAAGAAGTAAATCGTGTGCGTGTATATGTCTGTCGATCTATGTCTGAATGAGTTTATATGTGTATGTTTGTGTGTATTGTGTGCCGACAACAGGCTGTATTGCGACTCCAGCAATACGCCGAAATAATCTACTACTACTACTACTACTACTACTACTACTACTGCAACTGCTAGTACTACTACTACTCATCCGCACCATCCATCCATCCTACTCACCTTGCCAGAGGTTAGCAGAGGTCAGAGTCGAGGAACTAGCTTCCTGGACAAACTTTGCCAAAATTGCTTGATCTCCTATATTGGCCTACGATTTATTGATTGTCTGTCTTGAAGAAACAATAAAGGTGAAGGTCGTTGCCAATAAAACCCGGTGAGGCGTTCAATAGAGATAAATGGCAGAAAGCATTTTCCTTCTTCTCCCGTTAGTTCTCTTCTTTTACAGATATGTTTGAATTTTTCTTCAAGTATTCTTTCTTTCTTTTTTTCTTTCTTTCTTTCTTTCTTTCTCCGTCTCACATTATCAACTCCTTTCTTTTTTCCTTTTCATTATCATTTCTTTCTTTCTTTCTTTCTTTTTTTCTTTCTTTCTTTCTTTCTTTCTTTCTCCGTCTCATATTATCACCTCCTTTCTTTTTTCCTTTTCATTATCATTTCTTTCTTTCTTTCTTTCTTTCTTTCTTTCTTTCTTTCTTTCTTTCTTTCTTTCTTTCTTTCTTTCTCCGTCTCACATTATCTCCTCCTTTCTTTTTTCCTTTTCATTATCATTTCTTTCTTTCTTTCTTTCTTTCTTTCTTTCTTTCTTTCTTTCTTTCTTTCTCCGTCTCACATTATCTCCTCCTTTCTTTTTTCCTTTTCATTATCATTTCTTTCTTTCTTTCTTTCTTTCTTTCTTTCTTTCTTTCTTTCTTTCTTTCTTTCTTTCTTTCTTTGTCTCCCATTGTCTCCTTTCTTTTTTCATCTTCATTATCTTTTTTCCTTTCCTGTTTCTTATTTTCCCCTTCTTTCTTTTTTCCTCTTCGTCATTTTCATACTTTCTTTCTTTTTCATAGTCATTATAATTTCCCTCTTTCTTTCTTTCTTTCTTTCTTTCTTTCTTTCTTTCTTTCTTTCTTTCTTTTCTCTCATCATCTCTTTCTTTCTTTCTTTCTTTTCCTCTTCATTATAATTTCTTTCTTTCTTTTTCCTCTTCGTCATCTTTCTTTCTTTCTTTAAAACAGTGCTCGATACAATATAATAGATTTATTAAGTGTATATTAATAGATATACATGTTATCTCTCACCAGTAGCACGACTCTGAGTTTCATGCACAACGCAGTCTTCAGGTGTTGTGTATAAATTGACTGTTACACAATTTTGAATTATATTATATCTTGTTATCACAATGTTAGCGTAGTTATATATTATGCTGGGATTACATTTTTTTTTCATTTTAAAATTTGAAAATTACATTTGGCAATTAAAATAGTGGGACTTATATATGTATGTAAAAAGGAAAATTTTAAAATTATGTATTTCAGTGAGGAATGTTCATATCTTTAAAATTTTGAAAAATTATATAATTAAAGGGAGAATGTGAAGACTTTCTCTCGCAAAACCGATAGGCAAAATGCTATAGCGAGTTAATTAACTCGCTTTAGCTTTTTGCCTATCGGAAACTGCCCCCAAATTCGCAAAAGGAAAACAGGAAATGCTCATATTGAAGCAAAAGCTCTCAGTCGAACAACGGACCTCAAATGTCAGGCAAATGGCGCCAAACAAATTGGCGATAATTTGATAATTTGCCATTCTCTTTCATATTATGTATTGCTCTTTTGGATTTTCAGTAAATTGTACCATTTACGCATTTAGCGTAAAAGTTACTGAATATAAAACCGCATTAGTCGTTTATTCAATTTTTGGATAATGGCGAAATAATTCACAAAATATACAAGTTTATCGAACACGTAATTATGATCAGGATGTGTGTTATGGTGTAATGAGAAATCGGTGAGCCGAGTTCGAATTCCAGTCGGGTTTGTTACATTCACTTACGCAGAAATACCCTTGGAAAAGGTATGGATCTATGTCTTGCCCTCCTCCAGCTATGGGTTGAACAGCAGGACAGACTGGGTCCTATAGCCTTGGTTGTTAACCAGTCTACCACAGAAAAAAACGGCAACCTACTGCATGAAAATCTTCTGCTGAGTGAGTCGTGAATCGAAAGAGACGTAATCGCCAAATCGTGTGTCACGGGTGGCACTTGACTGACTGAATATATAAAAGAAATACTCCACATTACGAATTGTTTGTTTGTTTTAGGTAAGGGGAAAAATTTACAATTAATCTACTTGGAACAGATTGCTATTAAGCAATTAGTAAATATTAAAATAATATTTGTAAAAATTAATTTAATGATAATGGCCATGTTGATATAATAGATGTGCGTTGTGCTGTGATGAGTAAGGATGAGAAATCGGAGAGTTCGAATTCCAGTTGGGTTCGTTACATTCACTGACGCGCAAATCATCTTGTCAACCATGAATCGAAAGAGATCGCCAAAGCGTGTATTAAGTAGGGCAATTAACTGAATTATGATCAATCGACAGCCATATTTTACAAATAGATATTGAATGGTGGGAATAACACAGAAATATTGGCATAAATATTTTGATCACTTGAAACGCTTTTGACAATGGGTATTGCCTATTTTACCCTTGTGTTTGTTACTCAAACGTACCGAAGGTCATTCAGGTCAATCTGGCTAAGTTGAAAGACACGCGATGACGATAGAAATAATATTCTTTCTTTGAAAAGGTTTTAAGATTTTGATTTTGCACGAAAGTGCCTCTTCGTGGAACAAGAGTCAGCAAGCAAGTCAAGCAGACTATTATTACAGTAATGAATTTCATATTCACTAAAAGCTCCATATTTTAGCCTCGCGCCATATCAACAAAGAGTTCAATTAGAAAAAAAAGAAAAGGTGATTTAGAATTATGATGATTCATTTTAAAATGATCAAAAATACTAAATGTATTCATAGAAATTCTACGGTTGACAGGTTGACACTTACATATTTTATCTTTACATTTTAAGGGATAAATTCTAAGTGTTAATTAAATAGATATACAAGTCATATACAGCATATCGCGTTATAATCATTTTTCAAATGGGTTATTATGACAAAGAGTTCCTTTAATCTTATACAGAGGGACCACTGATAATTCTATTTTTTATCGTGATTATTACAGAAATGAAAAATTTCGTACAGGCATATTTCATATTACTAAACCATTTCATTGAAGTAGATGCCAAAAGCACAATTGTTATCGCTTCTTTTATTTTCCCTTATTTTTTTCTTTCTTTTTTTCATTTTTCTAAAAATACATATATGCAGCTTCGAAGCATTCCATAATAAAGCTTGGCAAAGTTACAAAAGAGGATTAAAGTCTTACTCAGTGCGCTGCTGCCTTATCAAATCATTATATGCAGGAGGTGGTAAGCTAAATTTGTTGGCAGGGTACTGGTAAACTAAATTTATAGGAAGGGGACTGGTAAGCTATATTTGTGGACAGGAGATGGTAAGCTATATTTGTGGGCAGGAGATGGTAAGCTGAGTTTGTGGGCAGGGAACTTGTAAACTAAATTTGTAGGAAGGGGACTGGTAAGCTATATTTGTGGGCCGGAGATGGTAAGCTAAAATTGTGTGCAGGGTACTAGCAAGCTATATTTGTGGGCAGGGGACTGGTAAATTAAATTTATAGGAAGGTACAGGCAATCTATTACAGGGTATAAAGTACTTGCGCACTAAGGAAGGAAGTAAGGAACAAGCAGAATTATATGACATTTAGCCATAATATGAATACCTACCTGAACCTCGTTTGGAATAATAAGGACTCAGCACTCTGATTTTCTTTTTTGTTACTAAAGAATCTGAACAGTTGTCTGTCCCTCAAATCAATATATATATATATATATAATAATAATAATAATAAAAAGGCTTAAACACTAATATTCCATGGTCATAATTTATTCCATTGAAATCGTAAATACGATCCAATTCATTAGACCTACAAATTCAAAAAGAAAACAGAAAAAAAAACAACTCCCGGAATAAAAAATAAAATTTAATGAGAGTGTATGTATGAGAGTGGGACGAATGTTAGAGTAAATGAAAGCTATAGGGAGGGGTAACAGACGAGAGAAGAACAGGAAGGCCTAAAGATGAAGGGGGGATTAAAATTTAACAGAGAGAAGTTTTAAAGAGGGGAGTCAAAGACAGTTTAAGTGAGGGAAATATGAATATACTCAGTTTAAGCCTTTTTATTATATCCTTGCTCTGTCCCGGACATTGAGTTCTACCTGGATTCTATCCTCTTGGATTTATTTTTTATACAAATATATATGTATGTGTATGTATGTATCTATATATATTTATATATATTTTAGATATATGATTGCATATCTATGTGTATATTTACCACTAATATTATATATATATATATATATATATATATATATATATATATATATATATATATATCCCTAAAGCCAATATTTACTCAGTGTAACTTTTATGACATTGAGGAAAGTCATTATCACGAAATTATAATATAGTATGATGATAGAAAAGATTACTTGCAATTTACTTCAGTCCATCAATTACAGGAATTTTTCAACGAAAGAAATAGACAAATTATTATACCCACTTTTGAATGATCATTTCTGATGTAAAAATTACACAAAGTATCTGAAATAAAAAACAAATTAGTTCAATTGCGATAACAACTTCTGGAATTATCATAATAGGTTAAACAGACGTCAGCCTTGTGTGACTGGTGAGTGGAGTTTTACTCTGAATGATATTTCAGTCACATCATCAAGATTTCTGATTCTCATTTCTTCAAGGGCAAGGCTTGGGTTGGTAGGTATGTACAACAGGCTGTTTCCAATGCAGTATGTCCCGCTTTTCCATGTTGCTAGAATGGTCTAACATAAAAGACAAATGCCGGTACATATTGTTCCATCGCCATCCCCAGAAATTACTAGAACTTTGCTGAATATAGCCACAATCTACTTTAGTACACCAACTCTGAATACTTCGCCGGCTTTAACTGCCAAAACCTTCCCATTGAATGGGTATAGTCACAAGACAGCAAATGTTTTAAATCATCCTTACTCATACGAGTTGCCTTCCTGAATTTACAAGCCCCGCCTGACCAATGTATACTTACATATAAATAGACATACACATGGCCCCGTGAGAAATAAAGGAGACAGTGAGATAGACAGACAGGCAAACAGCGTCAGCTATACTCTCATTTGTCCCATGGACATTAGCGAAAAATATATTGCTGGAAACATCTGAATATTTTTTTGTCTTGGTCCCCTGAAACGTTGTTTATTTGCATATTTGTAAATGGCAATCACTCTATATTGTTTAGAAGAAAACGTAGAAAAGACCATTTTTAATATATCCGTTAAAACTGACACTTTCTTACAAAATGAAAGATACTGTCTAAGTATATTTTGTTCTCTCAGCATCCGAAACAATGTTTGAAAATATTGAATAATAATGACTGGCCTTAAAATTAAAGATTAATGGACTCAGTGGATATAACAACTTTTGGAATTATTGAAGAGTACCATCTTAACAATATAAGATTCGCAGTGTTGATAGCAGGTAGGGAAATTAAACTAGAGTCACTCCTAAAGAAAGTAATAAAGGAAAGTGAGAAGAAAGACTAAGTCTAAATTGTAAGAAGACAGAATAACTGACTGTAAGCAAAAGGAACAAAATGCAAACTACGAATTAAAATATCTGTCTATATTTCTGAGATGCCGTATTATGTACACTATTTACATTATTCGGACTATTGTCCTCATTTTTGTCGCTATATTTATTACAACGTTTCCGCCCTTCGGTATCTGTCTATATTCCTGAGATGAGGTATTATGTACACTATTTACATTATTCGGACTATTGTCCTCATCTTTGTCGCTATATTTATTACAACGTTTCCGCCCTTCGGTATCTGTCTATATTTCTGAGATGAGGTATTATGTACACTATTTACATTATTCGGACTATTGTCCTCATCTTTGTCGCCATATTTATTACAACGTTTCGGCCTTTCAGTATCTGTCTATATTTCTGAGATGAGGTATTATGTACACTATTTACATTATTTGGACTATTGACCTCATCTTTGTCGCCATATTTATTACAACGTTTC